AGAACACGGCGACCGGCTAGCAAAATCCAATCATTCGATTGGATCCTTATAGTGCCGAATAAGTCACGTCCGTGACGTTTTTTGGTCGTAACGACTGAACCCATGAATCCAATTTATGCTACTGCGCCTAAAGAAGTTTCACTTCGATAAAATTAACGAAATCAAAACTTTATAATCAATCATATTATTATATTATTATATTATTAATAAATATTAAATATCTATAACAAATTTTATAATTATTTGGTAACCGCCCAGGCACTTTTCAATTTCAAACTGCGCTCAGTTTTAATTCTTACCACAAACGAATTGATTGTTAATATTAGTCTTAAAAAATGTGAAGAATAATCAMATTATCTGATAGATTATGGTCTGTCAATCAGGACGAGTGACTTATTTTGACATATGTATGAAGACGAGGAGTGCGTATAAATTTTACACTAATAGAAATAACTGTGTAATGTTGTAATCGCGTTAATTTGAAGAACTATATAATATATTATGTATAAGTTGTTCGGCGTTTTGGATCGATTGGTGCAATGGTGCGTCGAAGAACTACGGATGACGGATGACGATGCTGTGACTGTCTAAAAGGTTAGGTCTGGTCCGCTCAACGTTAGTACCTACATTATATCGTTGCACTGTCATYTTTATCATTGTTATAATAAYAAATTAATAACCAACACAATACGAATACGTTTTATTCCTTCCTAAATTAGTAATAGTGACCATAACAATAAACTTAAAAATAATATGTAACGGCTAATTAACAATCAGTAGTATATAAATATAATATAAAATATAATACCCTCAAAAACCAATATGATTTATTTTAGCCGATTGATTTCGGAGCTTTGGAAATGCGCGGGACTCGATAAAACAATAGTAATAATAATAATGATAANCGACGCAGCAATCTTGACGCACGTCAAATGGACGCGGCCATTTGGACGAACGACAATTGGACGCATACGTCATTTCGACGCATGGAATTGTGACTCCACCACTTTTAGGCGCAAAACAAAAATATAATTTTTTACTTATTATAATATTAAGTAAAATAAAATAATAATATGAAGTTTGTTTTCTTACTATATTATTGTATAACAGCATCTCCATATCATTTTTTCTTTACCTTCTCTATCTTTTTTATATATAAATCCACCATGAACAAGGAGATCTTTTCCCGTTGACTTTTTACAAACTCCAATGGCATGTTATAATTTTTTTTTTAATTTACAAGTTAAAATATTTAAAGCACTCTAACAGATGTAGATATATAGGTAGTTGATAATTTTTAAAAGCGTACGACTCACTGTGTGATATAAAGCACACTAACGCACCCATGTATTAATGTACAGGTATAATTGAACGGCAACCCGTAATATTAAGACAATGATAAAATGTAACCATAAAAATTAACAAACTACAATATAAAGATTACAAGGTAATCGGTCAAAAAGTCTTTCCGTCCGGGATTCAAATTACAGATATATAGATACCAGGTTTCTACGTTGAAATTGGCTAATACCTATGTATGTTATAAATATTTTATTTTTATAAACTATTTTTTTTTAACCTATTCTTATGTGGCTCAATATTATGAAGCAAATTCAAACTTATATTTATTGTTAAATAAGATTGTTAAGAAAGACTACCGAGCATTAAACAAAATGTCGTACTATTTTACTATATTATACGTATTATAATAAGTATAAAATTATATTTTTGTTTTGCGTCAAAATTGACTTGCGCCTAAAAGTGGTGGAGTCAAAATTCCATGCGTCGAAATGACGTATGCGTCCAATTGTAGTTCGTCCAAATTACGAAATGACGCATATTCAAGAAAAATATGCTAGTCAAAATTACTTTTGATCCGAAAAAAAAGAAGTTATCATTTTAAAAGGAAGTCTAAATTATAAATATCAACTCAAACGCCTACTCAATTATGTATTTAATTTACTTATCTACTTAAATGTGTATTCATTAGAGAAAAAACTAAAAAGACACACTTACAATTTATGAACCAGATTATCAGTTTCTTCAGATCCAGTCCGACCTTGAGTAGGTAATACCATTGATTTTGTGCGTGTTACAATAGTACGCTTGAATAAGATGAAACTTATCTACAAAGGGTATGAAAAAAAGATTCATCTTGGTCAAATATTAAGTTTATAATGGAAAAATAATATATACATTTTTCAATTGATATTATAATTATCATACAAATATAAGACAATAATTGATTATTTATTAGTTATATTAGTTTATTAATAACATTTTAATAACATTCTAACATTCTAAGGGTCCTAACAGTTGATCAAATTTTCCCGACCGGTTTTCCTTATATAGGTATAGAGTTAGATCGTAGCAATCGTAGTAAACTGACAATGACGTTTTTTTCCCGCCCGTCAGTTCGCCCAATTTGTCGTAATATCTACCGCACAAGGRAGAACACGGCGACCGGCTAGCAAAATCCAATCATTCGATTGGATCCTTATAGTGCCGAATAAGTCACGTCCGTGACGTTTTTTGGTCGTAACGAC